AGATGGGCTATCCTTTGCCATATGTTCAAGCAATAAGACATGACAGGCACGTTATTTCAGCAACGCTGCACACCTTGAATGCATTTTGTGGCAAAAGGCCAAAGTACAAATGACTTCAAATCTCATGAAATACAATATTCTTCCGCAAACGCATTAAAATCCTTGCACAGGCTTATTAGTACTGAGACATGACAATTACTTGAAAACTAAGGAGGCAGAGAGGTTTCCTAAGGTAGGTTCCTAGGAGTCAGGCACCCTGAAGGCCGTAAGAAACTTCCATTTAAAAATAATGTTGGAAAGACACATCTTAATAGAGTCAGCCTGGAAAAGGGCTCTGAAATCCAAGAGCAACGTGCTCTTCCTGAATCACCAAAGGGCGAATGTCAAAGTGTAGCATTAGATTGTGAGATCTTTGTCCTCATATAGAGCCTTACACCAACCTTGCAGGTTTGGGTGATCACTGTTGTCTCATTTTCCCTAAAGATTGCAAAAGCACTTGTGTGTTTACAAAATAATGTTAACACTTCTGGGCCAATTGGCTTTTAAAGATTTATCCTTAAGGATGAAGGCTCCAGGGTAGTTGTGATCTTGCCTTCTAAATCCCTCTCTCCTAGCGGGAGGCACATTTCTAGATGATTAGAGATCTTCAGGTGGGAACATTACTCTGCCTCTGGCTTCATGCCTTAAAATATGACCTAAGGCAAGCTATCATTTCCCAGAAATGAAATATGTCATATGTCACTATTAAAGTGAACCAGAAAAAGAGCATTCTATTACAATAATGGGTTTTGTTTAAAAAAAAATGTAAATGTCAAAACCCCAAAGGAATAATACATATTTGATACTATTATTGGAATAGCAATGCCAGTAATTCCATGAGGTACTTACATTTAGTATTGGTCATACAGTAAAGGGATTTTATATAAACCTTTCAGTAACATTGTGGTGGCAGAGGAAAATGAGAAACAGTGTCACTCACTATTCATGCAATCAGTATACATTTACTGGGGGCGACTTTGTGTCAGGCATCAGTCTAAATGCTGGGGATGCCAAAAAAAAAAAAAAAAAATGAGTAGAACATCTTCCTGCCTTCAAGGAACTCACATTCCAGTTGAGAAATCAGATACAGCAACTAACTACAATGCAAACTCATAAGTTATAACAGAGAGTTAAGTGGGTTCACTGTGTTGTTGCTGCTGCTGTTGTTGTTAGTTGCCGTCGATTTGGCTCTAACTCATGGCGACCCCATGTCTAACAGCACAAAATGTTACCCAGTCCTGTGCCATCTTCATGATCATTGATATGTTTGAGTCCATTGTTGTGGCTATTGGGTACATTATAGGAAACTACTAATTCCGGCTGAAGGAGTCCTTGCTCTCCTTAGTAGCCTGTTATAGCTGAGCTTGACTTTCAAATATCAGGATGAAGGGCATATTAGGCAGATGGAAGAGTGCAGGCAAAGGTAGGGCAGCCAAAAACTGCATGGCTCATTTAGGGAATGGTGAGTGGTTCTGTGTAGCTACAGAGGTAAGTCTGTCAAAATGTCTAACATCAAATACTTTGACGGACCATTTCGAGTTAAAGAAACTTGAATGATGTTTGAGCAGGATAATTTTACAAAACAAATGTATTTTATATTCCATTCTTTAGGACCAAAGCAATGAGAATAAGAGGCAAAATGCTGCATGGAATAAAACCGTCATTCTCACCATGACTCATCTGTTAACTTATGAAAATACACTTACATCAAGAAAACCAAGAAAATTGCTCATTTCACGTGCTTATGGGTGGATTGAGCCTAATATTGTAGCATTAAAACCAATTTCCCGCTGAGAAAACATGTCACAGAGGATAGCATGAACCTTTATAATTATTAATAATATTTGGTATTTTGATGTCACCTTTCATCCTGAGATCAGTCCTGCGCACATGGGAACAGATAATCTCCAAGGAAACAGAGATTAATATTAATCCAGTAAGTCGCACTACATTTCTATCTTCCATATTCCAAGTTAGTGGATATAGTTGTATATATCCACCGTAAAGTGAGGATTTTTTTTTTTTTTAAATAATTAACTTCCACTATAAGACATGTTAGGCCAGAGCAAAGGTCATGTCTTTCCATTCACAGATCTCCTAAGGAGATCAGCTTTTGACATATCCATTCCCCCACTCCTTGGCTAAGGAGTCCTGGTGACGCAGTGGTTAAATGCTCTGCTACTAACCAAAAGGTTAGAGGTCTGAACCCATCAGCTGCTCCACGGGAGAAATATTGGCAGTCAGCTTCTGTAAAGATTTACAGCCTTGGAAACCCTACTGGGCAGTTCTATCCTGTCCTATAGGGTCACTATGAATCAGAATCGACTTGACGGCAATGAGTACTCCTTGGTTTCTTTGCCTGCTGATCTGCTCCTGAGTAGAAGACACATCAACGGTGGGCTGTGCCTTCATGGATTCTCCAGCTTCCTCAAGAGAGTAACAAATCATCATCATCATCATTATCAACACAACTACTACAGCTTAGAAAGCATCCAGTCTATGCCTGTACTATTCTAAGAGCTTTATATATACACCATATTAACCATATATGTATACCAACTTCACGGGACAGTGCTGCCTAACAGAACTTTCTGTGATGATGGAAATACACTGTATCTGTGCTGGCCAGTATGGTAACTGCTAGCCACATGCCACTACTGAGCACTTGAAATGTGTCTAGTGTGACTGAAGAACTGAATTTTTTCATTTTATTTAATTTTAATTCAAACAACCATATGGTTAGTGGTTATTATGTTGGACAACACAGTTATAAGGGCTAGTGGGTTATTTATTTTAAACTAAGCTCTATTTTCATCATTCATTGGGAAGAATTTAACAAGGAATAGTGTGAGTGAATGGTTCTAAAATATTCTTAGAGCTGCAGATATTTTAAAAGAAGTTCCAGATTTTATATTTGGAGAACTTTTATTCCATCCTTCCTCTACTCCTGTTAAAATTTGATTGAAAAGATGTTGGTGGAATATACAGGGTAACATAAAATTATTTCTAAAAAAAAAAATACAAAAGATGTGAATGATGTCCTGAAATGAAACTTCACGGTGGTCCAACCATCCCAAGTGGTCAGCAATGATAAGCACTTGTCCATCTATTGAAGACTGGAATTCCAACTACCGATTTTCTGAAGAGAGAAACACAGTTCTCAGATAAACTCTTACTTCAGAGCCCTGGTGGCCCAACTGTTAAGGGCTCAGCTGCTAACCAAAAGGTCAGTGGTTGGAACCCACCTGGTGGCTTCAGCCCACCCAGTGGCTACCCAGGAGACTAGACCTGGTGATCTGCTCTGGTAAAGATCACAGCCAAGAGAACCCTATGAGGCAGTTCTACTCTGTACTACAGGGTCGCTGTGCACTGGAATGCACTTCAGGGGTCACAAAAGCAACAATCTCTTCTCACTAAAACCACCTTCCCAGGATTTCTCTGGTTTGTGTGTAAAAATATGGGAATAAACTTCTTTAAGGTGAAGAAACTGATTTGAAGACTAATTACATTTCACTTAGTCCACTCTGAAACTTAGACTGTGAGAGAAAGAACTTAAGTAGCCCTTGGTTTGAAGCATCTGTCGCGAAAATGTGACATATGTTTGCTTTGTTTACTCAACAACCCAGTGTAAACTGATACACTGAACTAGAAATCTGTGTATGGTGATTCTGCGTGTGTGTGTGTGTGTGTGTGTGTGTGTGTGTGCGCGCGCGCGCGCGCGAGTTGTGGGGAGCTGGTTGACGGCGGCAGTTTCCTCAAACCTGGCCCTGAGAAACACGTGCATAGCAAACGAGGAGCGCGAATAGTGGGACATCCCCGGGGTTTGGGACTCTTGCAAAGGTGCAGACACCCGTTGGTGACTCCAAACAATACGAAGCACACACTGGAGCAGGCTCCGCAGCCTAGGGGCGCGCCGAACTCACATGCAGTTGACAGCTACCCACTCCTCCTCCTTCCTCCTCCTCTTCTACCAGCCCTTATACTCGGGCCTCCAACTTCAACCAAAGCCAATGCCCTTTTCAATTAACCCCCCTCGATCAAAATGAGCGTTTCCTTTCTCTCCTCCGCGGCCTATTGTCTGGTGTGATGGGTTTGCAGATTTGACAGCTGGACTCGCCCAGACTTAATTCAAACTCGGTTTGCCTGAGAGATGAACTTGGACGTTAGCAAATATCTCGAATACAAGCCCTGAACAGCCAGACAGCCACCCGCCACTGTGGACTGTCCCCCAGGCGCTCTCCCTGGACTCGGTGTAAACTTCAGCCCCTCGCCCAGGCGCCCCCAGGCGCGGGGAGGGGAGGTGGATTCCGGGCGGGAGAAGAGGGCTCAGCAGATCAGCTGAGAACTAGCGTTTCAGGGCTTGGGGTGAAGAGCTGTGTATGTGTTGGGGTTTTTTTTTTTTTAATTTACTTTTGAAACATCCAAGATGGAGGTCAGCTTATAAATTTCCTAAAACCAGGTCTGGCCCGGTTTAAATGCAGTGGGTTGGGGGCTCCGCTTTTGTCTCCTTGTCCAAGCTGGAGGAGAGAGGTAGACTGTGTGCGTATGTGTGAGTGTGCGCGCGCTAGCGTGGATGAGCGAGTGGAAGCATCTCGCGATCGCTGCTCCGGGGGCCCGCGTCTGAGTGTGTGTTTAAAAAGCCAAGTCTTGAGTCCCAGGCGCAAGTGACGTGGAAAAAAAACTTTGTGTTCAGAAGAAGGGTCTGGCTCCATTGTACGAGGACGAAAGAAAGAGCCCTTGTGCCGTGTGCCCTTTTGTGTCTCTGAGTGTGTGTGTGTGTTTGAGGGAGAGACACTAGCGGCGCCCGCGGTCGGCTGTGTAGCGCAGCGTGTCCTGAGAGTGTGTGCGGGGTCCAGCCCGGGTCCCACCGCGGACCAGTGTCTGCTTATGCAGCGTTTGTTCCGGCGCGCGATCTTCGGCGGGGCTGGCGGGGCGCTGCGGCGCGGCGGGAGCAGGAGCAGGCCAGGAGCAATCTAGCCTCGTAACCCTCCATCCTCTGCGCCGCTTCCAGTAACCGCTAGCCCTCCTAATCGGCTTCCGAGCCGGGCGCTCTGTTCGGAAACCGTCCTGGCCCAACTCGGCCCTCCGCGCTCGCGAAGATGACCGCATCTTCCTTCCTAGCGCAGAGAAAGTGAGCCCGGAAAGGGAAGGAGAGGGCGGGAACACCCCCTACAGAATAAATAAATAAACATCTAAACAGGCTCCTCGCCGCTTCTGGACGCGGTCGGTTGAGTCCAGGTTGGTGGCATTTGGAGAGTTTTCTCGTTCTGTCGGCTCCGGAACCCATCGCCGCTGCCCCGCATACCCGCCACCTCTTCCCTTCTTGAAGGTGCCCCCCAACTTTGGAGCCCGGCGCGAGCCGGGGCGCAGGGCGCTCGGCGGGCGGCGCGGGGCTGCACCTGTCCGGGAGGACGCGCGGGGACTGCGGGCCGGCAAGCTCGCCGGGGCGGTGGCGTGGATGCGCCCGAATCCTGGGCGCCGGGCGAGAGAGCAAGGGGCAGACGCCCGGGAGGAGCCGAGGACTTGAGGCGGGTAGGAAAGCAGGAGCCGGCTGCGGGCCCCAGCCGGGACGTCACCTCCCCCTCGCCTCAGAAAGGAGGCGCGCTCGGGGAGGGGGCTTGGCCACGGGGGCAGCGATTGGTAGTTTGGCTGGGGAGGGCCAGAAGCTGAGCGAGCGAGCGAGCGAGCGGCGCGAGGAGGGGCGGCCAACTTCCCGGGAGAGGGGCTTTTTGCGCGCCGGGCTGGCAAGGGAGCCGGTGCCGCCGCCGCCGCCGCCGCCGCCGCAGCCGCCACCGCCGCCGAGGTCTCCGATCCCGGCAGCTGCCAGCTCGGCTCCAGGCGCTCGGAAAGTAACGTTCTTTCTTTCTTTGCCTGGGTTGGAGCTGGGTAGACATCCCCTAGCACTTTGGGAGCCCGTGTCAGACCTCTCTTGCCCCTGCCGGGCGGGTGCCGCCGGCTCTCAGGATAACGCACATGCACCCCGGCGCCCCGGCCCGCGTGGGGGTCGGGGTGGGTCCTCTCCCGGCGCTGGAAAGTACCCCCAGCGGGAGCAGGGGTGGGGAAGGGAGGGGGTAAGGGAGGCTCTGGCCCTCTTGACTCTCATTTCAAAGCGCGCTCTCCCTTCCAGGTTGGGTCGGACCTGATTCCGGAGACGCAGCACCGCCTCCCGCCCTCGCGTCCGCCGCCCGCCGGGAGCTGAGTCGCGCGGGCAGTGGTGGCGGCGGGTGACCCGGGAGTTTGCTTTTTAGCTGGATGGAGCTGAACTTCGGGCGACCGGAGCAGCGCGGCCGTCCGAGCTTCGCTGCCTGCTGAGCTCCCCGGCGAGATCCCGCGGCCGCTCGTGATTTTGGGGGGGCGGGGGGACCAGCTGCGCGCCAGCACCATGTTCCTGGCGACCCTGTACTTCGTGCTGCCGCTCCTGGGTAAGTCGAGGCCGCCACTGGCTTTCGTACCCGCTGAGCCTTTCTAAAGGGCACTGGCCTTGCGGGTGGGTGGTTTGGGAGGGCGAAGTCTCGTTAGGGGAGAAGGGGTAATGACTCCTTTCAGCTCAACGCCCTGGGCTTGGGAGGCGGTGACGGCGCGGCACTTGTCCGCAGCTTTGCGTGCTTGGGTTTTGATTTTCTGTGGTATTTAATGACTTAGTCTGGCGGGGACCTACCGAGTCCGCGGCCTCCAGCCCCGGGCCCAGCGCCTCCCGCGAGGAGGCGCGGGGGAGCAAGTGGGGCGCGGGCTAGCATGGGGCCGCGACAGCAAACTTCGAAGAGAAAACTTCTCCCCCAACAGCGTTTCGGCGCGCCCCGACGGGCCGGCAGCCGACCGAGGCTCATCCGCGCCCCGCGCCCGCCAGCTGCTGCTCTCCTCAGAGCCCCGGGCTTCCGTCAAGCCGGCCTAACGCGCAGCGGGAGCCGGGTGGCGCGTGCTGGGGGCAGCACAGGCTCCCCGCCCACCCCAGGCCCCGCGAGGAGCCGGCGCTGCCGCCTTCACCTCGGCCCGGGGTTGGGGCGGGAGTTCCCGGGGCGAGAAACGGACTCCTCGGGAGGCGGGCCCCTTCCCTGCGCTTGGCGCCCGGGATACCTGGTTAAGCACCCCCTCCCGGAGCACGTGCCTTGGAACCGCGCCTTTCCGCCCCCGACGGGGCTGTGGGAGTCTCTGCCCAGCAGCACTCACGCCCCCTGTTCTCCGTCCCGCAGACGTGCTCCTGTCCGCGGAGGTGAGCGGTGGAGATCGTCTGGACTGCGTGAAAGCCAGCGACCAGTGCCTGAAGGAGCAGAGCTGCAGCACCAAGTACCGCACGCTGAGGCAGTGCGTGGCGGGCAAGGAGACCAACTTCAGCCTGGCGTCTGGCCTCGAGGCCAAGGACGAGTGCCGCAACGCCATGGAGGCCCTCAAACAGAAGTCACTCTACAACTGTCGCTGCAAGCGGGGCATGAAGAAGGAGAAGAACTGCCTGCGCATCTACTGGAGCATGTACCAGAGCCTGCAGGGTACGCGCAGGCCGCCCGGCATCCCTCTCGGGTCCTCCGTGAAGGCTGGCGGCCCCTGGGCCCCCGGGCCGGCCGACCTAACACGCCGCTCACTTCTCCCCAGCTGCAGAAGGAGGACCTTTCATAGGTCCCTGGGGAAAGCGGCAGCTGGTGTTTGCTGCAGCCCAAGCAGCACTGGTGTGGCCTGGTTGTTGGAAAACCCTGTGAGGGCGTGGGGGTACTTGGGAGACCCCTGCTGACCTCTCTGAAACCTGGTCAGAGCATCGGAGTAGGATCCCATTAAAGGCCTCCCAGGGAACAACTTCTTTCCAGGGAGATCCAGCCTGAGGCTTTCGCTAAAGGCTTCACAGAATAATAACACAGAGGCTTACCCTGCCCCTTGTCTCCTTTTTCCCTTTAACCTATTCTGGCATAAGACATAGAATTAAGGGTGGAAGGTCCAGTAGAATCCTTTCTATCTTCACAACCCCCACCCCAACCTGATGAAAGGCTGATGTGTGAAAAACCATTTGTCATCTTAGATTATCAGTCTTGAACCAGCTGGTGTGGTTTAACCTTGGTTAACACGGAAGTAGTTCAGAGAGAGAGAAGGATCCACTTGTCCCAAGCATCCATTCCAACTGGAATTCTCTGGTCCTTGTGTGCCAGAGGTGGCTTGTGTGTTGTAAATCTAGCACAAACATCTGTGCATTCATTCTCCCCTGAGACTCACATAAAAATTTTGTAATATACAGATTTGACTTTGTAGCTTCCGCTTGCTCCGTCACCTATGAATGAAAACAGCTAGGACATCTGCTTTCACGCCATGTTTGGAGTAAACAGAAATGGGGCCTCTGCTGGTTCACCTCTCTTCCACTGGCTCCTGGAAGCAAACAGGGCTTGTGACGTCACAGGCTTCTTCCTCTTGATTTCATTCCTTTGCAGAGAGTGGGAGAGGTTTCTGGCAACATCAGTGTTTTCATGGCACTCTGGGGAGAGCAAGGACAACAAAGAGGGAATGAAAAGAAAGTCAAATAAATAGGTGCATTTGAAATCTTTGAAAGTTTCAGCATCTTTCTGTTACACTATCACAATATAATTAGAATTCAGATTCAGTAGTGAAAAACTGCTTGAAGTATATCTGTTTTCCAAATTGGATCCCAATCTTTTTGTTGTTTGCAGGAAACGACCTGCTGGAAGATTCCCCATATGAACCTGTTAACAGCAGATTGTCCGATATTTTCCGGGTGGTCCCATTCATACCAGGTAAGAAGATTCGTACTTCCACTCTGATGCCTTTGCCTGCTTGAAATTCTTTGACTTGCATTCCCTTTGGCTCTCAGATAGTGTATAAGTAGATAGTTGAATGGTGCAGTGTTTCTGGGAGATTAGAAATAGGATGATGATAATGAAGAGGCAGAATGCCTAGAGATGATTGTATGACTTGAAAGTAATTCTAAATGAAGTAATGTGGTGTGGTGATTTGGAGGAGGTTGGAGGGAGGTGACTTGGTTGAATTTTTTTTCTTCACATTAAAATATGATTGGCCAGCTTTGCAAAGGGAGTGCCTTTTCTGTCTGTAGGTGGCAATCGTATTCCCTTCTTGTTACATGCCTTACACAGTGCCTCCGTGGAAATGGGATCTGACCAAATGATGCTACTTACTTTACGAGATGTCTGAAGATAATCTTAGATCGCTGAAGAATTTCAGAGGGACTCACTTATCTGCCTTTGATTTAAAAGATTAAGCTCTACCATTTGTTAGAAATTCTTCTGTTTCTAATTTTTCTCGAGCAAGTGTGTGCATTTATAAGAGAATGTACGGCCCTTTACAAAGTAGTCTTGCTTCCCACGGGTTGTTTTGTTTCTCTTCGACGTTCTACATTTAGTTTGGAAGTGTACTTAGTTTTAGAATTACGTTTCCATAAGATCTTCAGTCAGATAGCCCCATAAATAATGAGCAAGGCAGTAATTTCTCTTAAGGGCATGCAGATTCCAGACAGATGTTGTCTGTATTTGTTTACAGTTAGTTGGATACAGTCATCCCAAATTATATGTATCTCAGTGGTTAAACATGGTGGTTGATGTTGAATTTGATTCTATGAAATGTTGATATGTTACTGATGAGAGTGTTCTAGTGTTGTAAATGGTTTATGCTTTACTGCAGAAAAGCCACAGAACCAAGGAAAGGGTCTATAAATACTGATATTGTATGTGGGTGTGTTATATATGCGTGTATTCACTCACAAAACATCCACTGAGCAATTACTATGCTCTAGGCATTGGGGGTTTGGCAGTGAGCCAGACAGATATAGTTCTTGCCCTCAGGAATCTTAGAGGCAGCCAGCAGCTGACATTTATTAAACCCTTATATGCCAAGCACTGTGTTAAGAACTTTGTATCATTAACTTATTTAATCATCATCAAGTGCTTGTTAAGTATTATTATTTCCATTTTATAGTTGAGAAGATTGAGTCATAGTGAAGGTAGGAACCAGCCTAAGATCATAAAGCTTCTAAGTGGTGGAACCAGGATTTACACCGTGATTTGTTTGGAGCCTGATGGCACAGTGGTTAAGCGTTTGACTGCTAACCAAAAGGTCGGCATTTCAAATCCACCAGCTGCTCCTTAAAAGCCCTGTGGGGCATTTCTACCCTCCTGCAGGGTTGCTATGAGTCAGAATCTACTCAATGGCAATGGGTGTTTTTTGGTTTTGTGTGATTCTAAACCTGCATTAACGACTTCTGCCCCTTGCTAATTGCTACCCAAAGTGTGGTCCTCAGACCAGCAGCATCGGGGTCATCTGGGAGCTGGTTAGAGGTTCAGAATCTCAGACTCTACCCAAGATCTACTGAATCAGTATCTGCATTTTAACAGGATTCCTGGGTGCTTCCTATGCACATGAAGCTTGAGAAGCCCTGGTCTGCATCATTCTGTCTTTCATTTCAGTGGAAAAGTGTGTGTGTCTGTGTGTAGTTCAGGGTGGACTACATGGGTACACATCTGGTATTAAAGCATCCATATATTATCCTGAATAATGCTGATAATTTTCACTGGAAATCCCCATAGATGCTCTCTGTTCCCCTGTCTCAGCCAGGACAGTGGCCCAAGCAGTGTACGAGAGACACATAGGCAATGTGTGTGACCATCTGGGCTCTCCTGGGAGCAGGTCTGTAGGAACTAGGATGAGGTGTGGCAGATGGGGTACTGGAGGTGAAGCTGGCCTTTCTAGTGTGGGCCAGTGCTTCTGGCCTGCTGCCCACCTCATGGAAGCTTGACTCCTCAGTCTTTATGCTGATACCTGCAAGGGTATGACCATCCTTATGTGAGGAGGTGGGCAAGGTGGAACCGTCATCTGGGTTTTAATGTCAGATCTGATATGAACTGTGAAGCTTTCATGGACTCATTTCCCTCTTTGGGTTACTTTTTTCTCATTGGTTTAATGATATAATCTCCAGTCCTAACAGTGCATGATTCTGAGGGAAAGAGCAAGGTCACCTCCAGACTCCCTCCACTGTGCGCTTGCATTGCCTTTTCAATCCTTGCGCTCATTTCTGCACTTGAGGTGGCTCAGTCATTCTCAGATACCATTGGTTCATCTGAATTTCTTTCACGAGTATCTGAGATTCTTCTGCATGGACCAAATTTCAGTCATTTGTTTTTTGGATCCACCCCTCAGCCAGGTATCTTTCCATAACAAATATGATCTTTAGTTTGTGAGACTTGTCCTGCTGAGAATCCAGAAGTCATCATGAAATTAACCAGAGGCAGGAAGGCCTTGTGTAGAGCCACATTTCATATCTCAAGGGCATTGAATTTAGGTTCCAGCACTAATGAGATCTGACCTCTGACAATGACTGTGTTTCTTAAGTGGGTATAGTAAAGCCAAATGGAGCCCTGAGAGGTTTTAAGTCATTGAATAATGCATATTATTCAGTTTGGCATTTGTAGGATGGGGAAGGACAGAGGAACAAGATGATAAATATTGCTTTTCATGGTTTGAATCGGAGTTTCTAAAACATCTCTTTCCATCTTGAAAGTTTCTCTGAAGAAACCAGGACAACAAGGCCTCTGCCTTTTACAGATCTGGTAGTGATCAGAGTTTCCGTATTTGGATTTCTCTGCCCAGTGTGAAGAGAATGTTTATCCACATACATTTAGCGTGGGCTGAATCCCCTCACTGAGCAAGACATGTTTGACGTTCTTGCATTTCCATTTCCTTCGGACTCCTTCAACATCCAGCCATCTTTGCCATTGTTTACTTGCTAGCCAGATAAAAGGCCATGATGAGGTATTACCATTGGTGGCCTGGTGAGAACAAAGAAGGGAGTAAAAATAAAGCAGAATCCAAAAACTGTCATCTCTGTTCTGAAGCCTGAACTGCAGAAGAGAAATAAATCAAGCACCCTCCCCAGACAAGAACTGCAATGGAAGATTGGAGGGACGACACTTGTGGAAACTTGATAGTGGAAGCATTTGGCCTCGAAGGCACTTTTAAGGGCTTGAGGAGGTATATTTACTGTGGGTTGATGTGGGTGGTTTTTAGGGGTCTTGAACAGGAAGATAGGAGCCCTCATGGTGCAGTGGTTAAACGCCCAGCTGCTAACCAAAAGGTCACTGTTGGAACCCACCAGCTGCTCCATGGGAGAAAGATGTGGCAGACTGCTTCTGTAAAGATTTACAGCCTTGGAAACTTAATGGGGCAGTTCTGTTCTGTCCTGCAGGGTTGCTATGAGTCAGAATCGACTCAGTGGCAGTGGGTTTTTTTTAATTTGATTTGAAAATGAAGAGTCAGACAGCGAGTGGGAGTACGCAAAGAAAAAAGTGAGCCAGTTGCAAGAGACATTGAGGTAGAAGAGAGAACAGAGAAAGTGTCTTGGGAACCAAGAGGGCAGAGCGGTGTGCGAGCTTGGAGGCCCAGGAGACCGAAACCACGATGTAGTGTTTAACATCTGCTTCCCTCCCAGCTGCTCTTTAACCTTCATTCTGCCTTCCCTTTTGTTTTTCATGAAAGTTCAAGAGGCAGCAAGAAGTAAACATTGATTTAAAAGGAAGATGAACCTATTGGCAATTTTTTGGAACCTCTGCAGAGGAGAACAAAGCAGCGAGAAGTTTTGAAAGTGCAGTGGGGTAGAGTGGGTGCCAGGAGGATTTTGAGGATGGAGATCAGAGGGAGGATATAAGCACCTCAGCAGCAGCAAGAGCAAAGGAGGGATCCAAGGTTTAAAGCTATTGATTGGGAGATGGGATTTTGTAGAGAAGAGTCAAGAGATGCCAGGCCTTCCTTGAGTGTAATTAGAGTTGATGGTATTACAAACAAGAATCAAGTGGATAGATTGTGAGGAAAGAGTAATGTTAGGATTTGAGCATCCTAAATCTGGTTTGGTGAAAGTCAAAGTCCCAGCCCTCTGGCTCTGACATCATTTCCCTAACAAGTCCTGTTGTTGTTGGGCGCCAGCCAGTCGATTCCAATTCATAGCCACCCTCTGTGACGGAGTAGAACTGCTCCATAGGGTTTTCTTGGCTGTAATCCTTATGGAAGCAGATCACCAGATCTTTCTCCCACAAAGCTGCTGGATGGGTTTGAACTGCCAGCTTTTCAGTTAGATCTGGGAGTTGCTTAAACCTTCGCAGGAAGCCTTAGGACCTGGAAATGGGATGTTTCCTCCAGGATGACATGCCCCTATACTCTCTTTTGAGTCCAGCCTCTTTTTCTGAATTATGCTATAAATAATTAGCCATTTATGTTTTAATGTACCATCGTATTTATGTAACTATTTTTTAAAATTTCTTAAGTTTTCCGTGTTGGAGAAAAGCCTTATAATGTCATCTGCTATCTTCTCAAAATATGGTGAGAGAGAAGGGCCTGTAAGTACCAGCTCCTAGGGGTGTGTGTTCATCCATTCCTTTGCATTCAGCCGGCTAAAGCAGAAGCCTAATTGTGTCGTTCCTCTACGTGAGGACCCTGATTGGTTCTCTACTACTTATTCTGATATATGGTGAAATCTGAAAGGCCAGTGGAGCCCCTTTACAGCCTGGCCCTGTTCTCCTCCAAGCACCATCACCCCTCTCTCTACTCAAGCTTTCTGCACTCAACCATTCTCCAAGTATTTCATGTGCTTTTACATTTCTGTGCCTTTGCACATGGTCTTGCCTCTGCTTGGGAAGTTTCAATTCTCCAAGAGCGAGATCAAATTGCATCTCTGAGGGCCTTCCTGGAATTCCCCCAGACAGGCACTTCCAACTCAGGACTCCCTCACTCTGCA